ATTGTAAAAATTATTAGAAGTAATTTTTCAACAATGAAACTAAACTTGTAAGCCTCGCAGAGAATGCACGGACCTAAGCGATAGTCACGTTCTCTCTATAAACAAAGAATTTATTTATTTATTTTCTTTTTTTTTTTATGCGGAATCCTTTTTCAATATATTTCTAAATTGTTTGCTCAAATGCATAAATCCTTCAATAGTCGAGCTGTGTTTTAGATAAGTCCATAGATACAGGCTTATGATAAAATACTTTTTCATATCATTTTTGTTTTCCATTTATCACATCGTATTTATTGTATTCAATATAAGTAAATCTGAGTATGTTTGCGTTTCAATTAAATCGCAATAACTTTTGATATGTAAGTAATTATGTGATTGCGATCGATTTAATATATTATTTATATTGTTCGTTAGTCTTTTTGTTCTTGTACATGCATATATGTTTGCTATTTGTTTACTCCCTTTTTGTAATTTCATATTCGATATATATTTCTATGTTTATTGCACGTATGTGAAAGAAGATACTTTGAAAAAGTTTTTTACTCCACATAAGTACATTTAGTTTGACTTGAGTGATAGACCCATCCCATCTCGATTAGAAAATGATTCAAAGTCTTGTCTATCCCTCTCTTATTCGTCTTATTTTCTTGTGTTCAAGATGTCACATGTCAGAATTTTCGAGCTATATTGATGAAATTTAATACACCACGCCTTTGAAAATGGAAAATGGTTCGGATCACTTCCTATATGAATAACTATGGGGTATTTAATAGTAGGCCGTAGCCGGCTATAATGTTTTTTACTGTTTGAAATGAATCATAAATTTACCAAATTAAATAAATCGACAAAGTATATATATCGACGACCTTATCAATTCATTCATTTCGAAAACTATCATCTTCTTGTTATCTTGACATTATCATCTTCATTTTGTAGTTTTTCGTGTTTTGAAGATCTGGATTCCCTTAATGCATATACTTGGTCGCCTATTTCCTAAACTAAAGGAATAATAAATGATTTTTAATGAAAGCAATGCATCTAATCAAAGGCAACCGACAAGCAAGCAGGTATGTCATTTAATTACATCGATGGGACTGTTGGAGGTAGCCTTATATATATATATATATATTTTTTTTTTTTTATTTTCGCCTTTTTAATAAATTGCATACTTTTTAAAATTGCGACGTTATACCGCCGTATATTGTGACATGAGCGGAACTTGATGGAAAATTGAAAACCGCTTAATAACAAGATTTGTATCCGAATCCAAGAAGGTGTTTTTTGCTTTTTTTATCTTCCATGCTATCCAAGATAGTTTCCACTTAATCGCATGATTTTTGTTATACGTAATTTATTCATCTCTAATTCACGTATAGTATATGCTTATGTTGGTTCGCTCTTCACTTCATAATTGCAATAAGCGGAAAATTAAATTTTTAAATTTTTCAATCGTTATTCATTGGAATTAAAAGCTTTTCCTATAATAAATAATACTTCACTTGAAGTGAACGGACAAAATTAAGTGTACATCCGCGTACACACAATGAATTGCATATGTATGGATCTATCTATGCATGCATGCATGTATGTATGTATGTATGTATGTAAGTGTCACTAAAAATATATATTATGCGATATGTCTTTCCACAAACTCACGTCGTGAATGAATGAATGGTTTGTTCTAAAAGAAAAGAAATCTTATTAACGGCTTATAAACAAATAATCCAATTTACCGTTATTCGCTTACTACTTTGATCAATTATCGTTCACTTTAACGAATTGCCCAAATATATAGGTCTACATCTACGTCGGCCACATGCATGTATATGCATATAGGTGGACATATCGAATAGTGCATAGAGAAATACACATGATTGATTGTCTGATGTTTGCGATTACCCTTTAAACGGTTAGTTGGTGCAAAGCAAAGCAAAACGATAGAACCCCTTGCATAGACGGTGTTTATAGTCTACATACAATAATTAGAAAAGTGCTACAACGAATATGTTGAATTAATATTTCATTGTGTGAGTAGCCTCTACTAACATCAATTATTATCATTATTGTTATCATTACTTCTTTCTTTTATTCAAGCCAAGAATATTTTATAACAAACAAGTCAAATTGAAATATAAGTTTTTTTTTTTTTCTGTTACTACGGTTTATGTCTTTAAAAATAAATCAATTACTGTATGGTAGTGCAAGCAATTACTTCAAACTGTATTCTACTGTATTTAAAGCATGGCATCCACGGTAAAGATAAGTTAGCAACGGTTGGTATGGAATGGTAATTAACTACTGGCTGGCATGCGCTTGAAGCGAATAAAATCATCAAAACTCTTCTTCTTTTTTACTTTTTTTCGAACGAGAAAAGGATGTAAGTGAGTTTGCGCGATCAGGAAATTAAGAATTACGTTGATGCGTGAGTTTCAGTAGTAAAGAAACTCTTTGTTTGTTTTTTTTTGTTTTTCCTTTCTCTCCTCTATTTTCGAAGTTTCAATATAAATGGAATAGTGGAATCTATTTTACTAATTCTAGCAATTGTTCACATTATTTGCACAAATATGATCAGCGGCATGAGCGCTCAACTGTTTGATCGATACGAAATGCAACGCTGAGACTCATGTTCACTTCAAAAAGAGAAAAAAAAAAAAACAAAATTAAAAATAAAAATAAAAAAGAAAACACAATGAATCAATAAACGAATAGAGCAAATGCACGAAACTCACGTTGAGAAATACATATATTTCAAAAAAAAAAAACAAAAAAAAACAAAAAAAATTTCTTTTATTGAATTGAAAATGCACATGCACACATATACATTTATGGTGTTTGAAGTTGGTCATCCTTTTCTTTTGCGGCGACTAATTTAAGTGAAAGTTGCACTAAACATATATAGATCAGAACGGATCAGAGTGGATCACAATCAAACAATATCGTGCACGTTATTTGCAAATGCATAAAGCATTCAGTTTGAATTTATTAATAAAAAGAAGGAAATCAAAACTAAAAAAAATTCAATAAGTCTTCAATGAGCCTTAAATAGGAAACAGAATACATACTTATATATGTACATATGTATGTATATCAGAAAAAAGAAGAGAAATGAACAAACATATTTTTATATATTTTTTGTGAAGCGTACACGTGTCTGTTTATGTCTATATTTAATTTATATGCGCCATAAAATGATATAAAAGAACTCAGTTCTTAGCTAAATATAAAGATATTTCCAGTTTAAAAGAAGGCGAACTGACGACTGTCTCTAAGAGATGCACTGCTTCGTTTTAATATTAAAATGGGTTGATTTGCCGGCAATGGTATATAGATCGCAAACAGTAAAAAAATTGTTCTTTGGCTTTTGTGTTTTTTCTTTTTTGCTTTTTTTTTTTTTTTTTTTTGCTTGCTTATTTCTCTATTAAATTAATGGAAAAGTTTAAAAAAAACAATCTGTGTGTGCATTAAGTCGTTAGCTAGTCACACGAAAATGCATAAACTGACAGCGAGATTTACTCACTTACACATGTAAGAATTGCATGTTTGATAGGCACAGAGCCCGAGTCTGTGGCTTGTTTTATTACAAGGCACGCGACGTTAATTATTCAACCATTCACCATTCTAGTGGAAGTAATCATTTAGGCGTTAAAATCATACGTTTTTTTTTATGATTTTCATACACTAAAGACTTGTTTTGCGTTATCGACGATCACTATACGCGATTTCCTATACATGTCTGGTATGAAATTTCTCTTTTTTCCCGAGATACCATACCCACGCCCATACCTCTAACTATTATTATGTTCGCATATTATATACGTATGTAGTATGTATATATATATATATATATATATATATGAAATAATTCATTTTCAGCAATACATACGAAATACTTTCTAGTTCAATTTTGAAAGGAGGGAAATACTTCATTCCCAATAAAATCAAATGCAAATTTTAATGCGTAACCATTATAATTTTTGTTACCAATTTAGTCGGAGAAATAAATTCTAGCACTAACACTAGTATCCATGGCTATTGGTTTTCTTGAAAAATCTAGCGCGCTTGAAATTTCGGCCCAATTGTTTTGTTAGTCGGCCACTTAGGCGGAATAATGCATAATTAAAAATGTTTTTATTCTTTTTTTCAAGAACTTAAAAATGCGTAATTAATTAACAATTCCAAGTTCTTTAAAAAAAGGCAAAAAAAAAAAAAAAAAAAAAAAAATGTTTTAAAGGGCTTGCAATGAGTAACCTTCGCCTTTTCTGATTTTTTTCTTTTTTCAAAATCATTTATGAAAATTTAATTAATTATTGGAATTTATTTCAATTACCTTTCAACAAATGCTGCAAAATATTGTCTTTGTGTTCTTCCGAATGAGGCTCGCCCAAAATGATCAACAAATAACAACCGGTTAAAGGACTGGGCGGTCCGACCATAGTGCCCACGAAACTTGCTGGTCCGCCCCCATCCCCATCGGATCCGGCAATCTCTAAAGGAGGACGACCGTCAGCTTCCGACTGTGGTATTGAGGCCACGCCATCGGTACCAGTGTCATCGAGCACGCCCTCAGAGAGTGCTGAAGTGCCTTCTGCTGCGCTTGGTTCCACTTGCGCTGCGCCGCGGCCATTCAAAAATTGTCTCTCTTCCGTAATTTCGGGCATGCTAGCGGGTTCAGCTTTAGTAGTAAAACCGTTCATTTTTACCTGTTCTTCCATCACAGCTTTAGTTGTTTTAAATTTGAATTTTTCTTGTAAATTCTTTTTATCAAATCGTTAAACTTAATCAGGAACCTTTCGATGAAATGCAAAATATTCCAAAAAACAAAACGAAATAAAAAACAGGAAAAATAATGTTCTCACAATTCCGTTGTTGTTGTTGTTGTTGTTGTTGTTGCTTTAAAAATTCTAATATTCTTATGTTTTTATAATTTTTTTTTCTGTTTTTTGCGTTTATTTTCTTATTGATTTATTTAATTATTAATTTTTGTTTCGTTTTTTTTTTTTTTTTTTCTTTTTTTTTGGAAAATTCTTATTTAATCGTAGAAGATTTGCGCTTTCAATTACATTCGAGATATAATTCAAACCAAATCAGTCTTTGTTACGAATACTTTAAAATTTGTACATGTACTAAACGAAAAACGGTTTTTTCTCCCTCTTTTTTTCTTTGTATTTTTAGTCTCTCTTGTAAGGAAAGCCGACCAGAATATAATTTGGAATATTTATTTATTTTATATGGATCTCAACGTTACGATACGATCTTCGGCAAATTACGTGGTAGACTAAAGTGTTTGTTTTCAAATTTTAACTTGAAAAGTTTATTCACTCAGCCGCTGAAAGAAACGTACACTTCTTTATTTTAAGTTCTTGTTGTTATTGTTGTTATTATTATTATTATATATTGTTTGTATTGTTCTTGTTGCTGTTGGTAAGATGTACTTGTAGTGGTAGTAGTAGTAGAATTAGTACCAGTAGCAGTAGTAGCAGTAGTGGTAGTAGTGGTAGTACTAGTAGTAGTAGTAGTAGTAGTAGTAGTAGTAGTAGTGGTAGTAGTAGTAGTAGTAGTAGTGATTACAGCATGCGTTAAATATGGCAAAGCACAAACACACAGGTACAAACTTGCAGGTCTCTTTTCGTTTATGCGCTTGTATTAGTTAGAGTCGATTTGCAATTTGTGGTCGGTCGTACACGCAAACAAACAAACAAACACACGAACAGACACATGAACACGTACACATATACACGCTGAGGCGCAGACAAAATGAAACGCAGAAGATCTCAAATCATCTAATGCTCTAATATTGATAATTGTTCTCGTGTTTGTTTGTTAACTAACTAACTGTTTGTTTGAATATATTTTCCTTTTTTGCTTTTGTTTTTCCTTTTTGTGTTTTGTCTGTTTTTTTTTCCTTTTTTTTCTTTTTTTTATAAATTCAACAGCAAACAGATAACGTAAAATTGGTTAATTTTTCTTTGTAGAAAGAATATGTGATTACTTTTACAATAATAATAATAATAATAATAATAATAATAATAATAATAATAACGATGATGATAAAAATGCAAATTTCTTTGCTGTTGTTGCTGTTGCTGCTCTTGCTGGCTGTTGTTGAAGGATTTTTAGTAATTTGTGGGTAGTACGCTTGTTCCAATATATATATACATATTTATATATATATGTCCAATATATATATATTTTTGTTTTCTTATATATATATATATATATATATATATATATATATATATTGTATGTATATATATACTATATTTTCAATTGTTTTTATTTTTATATTTTTTTTGTTTTTCTTGCCTTTCTTATAGTCGACTTATTAAGATGGCGTGATTTTCTTTCAATATTATAATCAAAAGTTTTTTTGTTTTTTTTTCTTTTTTAAGCTTTTCCTCGAAAATAATCTACTTCGATATAATTTCGGAGAAAATCTACTATATGTATATATATATATGAATATATATATTCATATTCATATTCATATATATATTCATATTCATATTCATATATATATATGAATATATATATATATATATATATATATATATGTAGTTCTTAGAATTTGTAGTTTTAAAATCCTGGTTTTCGGTATTTAATTTGCAACATACATATAATAATTAGTTTTATTGGAATTTTTTGACTGCTTGCTATGTATTCTTGGATGCGGTTTTTTTCTTGGTTATTTATTTATTTATTTATTTTTTTTTGTTGTTATATCTGGAAGAAAAGAGAGACAGAAATTATTTAAATAAATATATATAATGTATATATATAAAATGACGGGACTTGGGGAAAATAAAAACAAATTAAATATAAACATATATATATATACATATATGTATATATATATTATCCGTTAAGGAGCGGCTGCAGTTAGGAGTCCATCACGATTTCTATGATTTTTGTGGTAAAAAAAAGATTAAAAGAAAACTTCAATTGTAAATTTGCAAATGTTTCCTATTCGCTCTAAATATTCATGTCTACTGAAATGGTAATATTGCTTGAATACATGTGATTACTATTTGAAGCTATACACATGAACATGGCTTTATGCTCAAATAATAATGATACTGACAAAGGCAGGAAGCAGCTTTGCACTGTTCATGAAGTTTTTCTTTTTTCTGCTTTTCTGTTTCATTTTCCCTATGAAAGAAGAAGAGGCACACTCTCTGACTGATAAACTATTTTTAGTTGGACGCAATCCAAATAATAATCATGGCATTTGAAGTTGTCATGCAGACACATATCAAGTCATAGAGTCGCTAAAAACTCCATCATATAGGCTAATTTTACACACCTTTCACCCTAAAGAAAATGCACAACCGAGTCGTATAACGCGCAGAAAAAACATGACAGACTATAAATATATTAAAAAATGAGTCATACATGCAGCAATTGCGATTGCAATCATTTGGAATCGTCGTTTGCACTGATATTATTAGCGTAGAACAATTTCCAAATCTTACTTTCCTTGCAAATGCATGTATTTTATATATATATATATTTAAGGGAATTTTGTGCGAAGACATAAAAACGAAAAACCATTTCAATGACATACGTTTGCAGGCTTTATGCTTCGAAGAAAAACAAATAGTACTGTCTGCATATTATATCTTAAAAAAATAAAAAATAAAAAAAAAAAAAATGGAAAAATAAAGAATTATTTACCTTTACATTGAATCACTTACTCACTCACTCACTCACTCACTCACTCACTCACTCACTCACTCACACACACACTACGCATTCGATACTTCATTCCAAATGGAAATCGAAATTTAATTTCTTATATATAAAATTTTATATAAATTTATGTTTATGTTATTTCATACGTCTGAGCCATCATATACTCTCCAAATCGTATTTGATATCATATGTGATAGCCTTCTTTAGTTGACGAATTAAAGAGTTTACAAATTAGCCACGCCCCGTTCGTTTCGTTCTGTTCGTCATGCAATCTTGGCACGTGTTAGAAGCTTAACTAAAAACATTAAAGATATATATGCATAATTGAATTCAGTAGACGAAGCTTAGTCAAAAAGTACACGCGAAATTGTCTCATTAAAGAGGAAAAGAAAAATTAATTCTGTCCTGTTTACAAGTCGTATAACCGATTACCGATCCGAAATTTGACACAATGTTTATCGCAGCCATGTGACTAATTCCCATCTACCTACCCATGTACCTACGGTCTTAAATGCAACTTCGTGACAAGTCGAACAAAAAAAAAAATAAATAAATAAATAAATAATAAAAATAAATCAAACACGACTCGGTTTTAGTTTAACAAGATCCCCCGGAAAAGTTATATAGCTTTCTTGTGTTTTTCTTTTTGTTTCTTCGAAATCTCTTTTTCAAACATTATCGGTATGACTATATAGATAGATTTCAAATTGAAAGCAAGATTTTTAACGATTTAAAGGGAAAAATTGAAAACCGCACCCGTCTGTGCCGAACGCAAAAGACTGAATGAGGAGTTTTGTCTTTGCCTTTTAAATGAAAACGTTTTTTACTGTTTTTTTTTTTTTTTTTTTCATTTTTTGAAAGCGAGTTCAACCGAAATGATATCTTGTCTTGTGAGGCAAACGAGTAAATGGTAACTTAAGCCGGATAGGTATGAATGCACCACCACCACCACCACCACCACCACTATTACCATCGCCACTGCCACTGCGAATTCCGAATGTAATAAAAACGCTAAAGGAGCTGCTAAAAGGTATCGTTTAATATCGTGTTTCTTGGCTGGTGGTAGAAAAAAAAAAAAACCGAAGGAAGTCACCCTAACATGTTAGAAAGTGCCGTTAAGTCAAAAATTTGTAAAGTTTTTTTTATTTATTTTTTTTATCTTTCTATTTGTGTTTTTCTTTTTTCTTACATACGAGTATATTTTACATGTCTGCATGTGTTCGTGTAAGCGCGTGCTTGTACGTGTTTTATATTTGGTGAGTTTTTGGTTTCTTAGTAAAAAAGAAGTTTAAATACTTATTGATATTTTGGATGATACGCCGCTTGTATATTTTCTGGTTGCAACCGTTTTGAAAGCTCGACAAAGACTGAATGGTTTCTTGTTGAAACTCTCGGTGTATACTCTGTGCTTATTAAGAAGAAGGACTGCAGTAAGTTATCCTTTATAGCAAAACATTAACCATCGTTTATTAATCATGGGGAGGCTTTTCAATCGTAGAATTGGAAAATTCCAATTGTCGATTGGAATTTGTTCCGAATCTTGCACGAGTGCTATTGGCTCTAAGCCAATTTTCTTTGCGTTATGTGCCAAGCACACAACCAATAACTGTTACCGAAGCTTTTAAACAATCATCCAATTGGAGCCGTAGCTGTCTGTGTTTTCATCTGCAATGCATTCCTTCCAATGAGGACTTGTTATAAAAAAATTTAAAAAAAAATAAAAAAAATTCCTTGCATTTTTTTTTTTTTTTTTTTTTTTTTTTTTTTTTTTTTGCTTTAACACTAAAAGGAATTCAAAGGCAGAAACTTAAAGTTCAGTTTGTGTCAATATTTTTAAAGTCAACGTCACACGCACATATATGCCTATATATATATTGACTATACGTAAAAGAAGAAAATTAACTGAAAAGCAAAATATTGTCGTTTGATTATTTTTTTTTTTTTTAACAAATATGATTACACGCTTATAGGAGTTGTGTGGCAATGTTGAGATAATAACGGTTTTAAAGCACAAAAAGACGCAATTTCCAATCCGTGGAAATCAGTAAATTTCCAAACTTTACTGCAGTAGTATGCGAATAAAATGTACGTTATCTATGTATGTGTGTCTGTCTGTATGTCTGTCTGTCTTTCTGTCTGTCTGTCTGTCCTATCTATCTATCGTTCTATCTGTCTATGCGCTAGATGAAAGGCAAGCGCGAAACTTTATGAATTAAATAAGTGTAGTAAGTCATTCAATTTATGTGCATATTATTCTTATTTATGAATTAAGATCAAATATTCGTGTGTGTGTGACACGTGCTTATTTGATTTCAAAATTTATTACTAATGTTTTTAGAAATTTTTTTTTTATTATTTTTTTTTCGTTCTCTGCATCTGCCTGCCGGCAGCCACTTTATCTTGGTATATGCATATTCGGTATTCCTCTTACAGTTTTAAAAGCTTAACTAACATGCACTTAATCTCTTTTATAAGAAAAGCCGGCTTTTCTCAATTCTCTGCAAGCTTTTGACAATATCGTTGCTGAGCTAAGTGAATTGAATCAGTAATCCAATCCGTTTTTCCGACAGCAGAACTTATGCACCAACATTATGTCGTTAGGCAATAAGTAGTGAGACAACCCCTGAACCCCCGAATAAGGTTGCGAGTCGTGTTTAGAAAGCCAAGAACATATGATTTTTGCATTCGGTTGGTATAAATTGAAATATCGATTTATACTCTCTATGTCCCTTACACAATAATAAGATAAACTTTTTTTAATATGTACTGCGTGCTATTGTCCGTATACGTGTATGCATGTGTTGATTGCATATAAAAATGTGAAATACAGCTGTTCTTCTTAACAGAGAGAGGGACTCGTTAAAAAGAACAAAAAGTGAACAAACGTATATAATGCGTATCTATTTTTTTTTTTTTTTTGGCCACCACCTCAACTCAAGTCAAGTAATCAACGAAATTTAATCAGATGTTTTCTTAGGCAAACAGAAGCGAGGGGAGGATAGTCGCTTGGATAGTTGGTTGGTTGGTTGGTTGGTTGGTTGGTTGGTTGGTTAGTTGGCTGGTGGCTTGGTTAGTTGGTTTAATTCGCATTGGGTTAGGAGTATAAACGAGTGCGAATGAATAAACAAGGGTTTAAGAAAGATGCAAAAAGTGTAATATAGAAAAGAAAAAAAAGAAGGTTAGGAAAATTAGACGAAGAAGAAAATTTTCCTTTTTTGGTTTTTTCTTTTTTTTTTTTTTGTTAATATCTGTTTTCTGATTGGAAAAATTAATAAATAACAAAAAAAAAAAAAAAGAAGAAAAATTCAAGCTTACCTTCGATTTTTTAAGTGGATCCTTAAAACATATAATTTGCTAGAATTTCTGTATATATGTATGTATGTATATATATATATATGTATACATATATTTATTTATAATAATGGATGGACAAGAAAAAGCCTTTGTTTCCTTTTTCAGAGTTCAATCAATGCATACGTTTCTCCTTTGGCCAAATAATTTCGAATAATTGTTTTTTTTTTTTTACTTTATTTATTTATTTAATAATTTTTTTTTTTTTTCTTAATTGATTGCTTCTAAAATTCTTAAGCACTAAACGCAAAAATGGACTAGAGTTTTTTTTTTTATATACGTTTAAAATATATAAGCGGAAATGTTTAATTTTTAATTTTTTCTTGTGTTTTCTTTTTTTGTATATTTTTTTTTTTTTTTTTTTTTTGTTTAAATTTTACTCTTGTTTTTTATATCAGAAGAAAAATTAAAGTTTTGAAATTATTTATTATACGATACGATTGAATTGTTTATGATATAGTTCGATTTAGTTTTATTGTTGAAATAATTGAAATAAATTAAAAAACTGCTGAAACCGAAATAAACTTTAGACGGATATTGATTTTTTCAGTATATTCCTAACGAAGCGATAAAAACATGTATAGTTGAATGTTTTTGCTTTCTTTTTTTTCTGTTGCTTTTTTGTTTTTTTGGTTTTTTTTTTTTTTTGGTTTTTTTTGCTTTTTATTTTATTTTATTTATTTAATTATTTTTTTTTGTTTTTTAACTTATACTCTTATCCGTATCAAGCAAAATGAAATTCTGCATAAGTTTTTTGCAAGTTGAAAGTTATTTTTATTTTAATATTTATAATATTTTTTAACAATTTCTGAAATTTTCTTCAGATTAATGTTGAGATTGTACTGCTTGGACAATGTGGGTCTATAACCGGCTTTATATGATTTTGGGCTGCCTTTTAAGCTTACAGTTTGCTTAATACTAAATTGTAAAAAATGCTTTTGGCAGTTGCTACCATATAAAAGCTTTTTCTATCCTCTTCTGCCTTTACCACATGAATTGTTACTTACTTACACTTTTCACATCTCAACGACTTTGTGCTGCAGTAGTTCAAGTCATCATCATGTGACACAACAACACTAACTTAACTAGCGCATGCTCTATATAAAACTCAGCTGTTTTAGATTTTAGTACAAAATTAAAGGCAATATATATATATGACAAAAAAAAAAAAAAAAAAAAAAAAAAAAAAAAAAAAAAATTATAATGTTTTTTCTTTAAATGCAATAAAAATATATAAAATATATATTTTCTATATTTTATACAAGTCTTGCCAAAAAATCCAAAAAAAATTGAAATTATTGTTTATTTATTATTTGAATTGTGTTCCACTAAAGTTCAAGCTCAATATGATCAAAATGATTTTTGATTTATGTGCAAAGTAAAAATGATTGTCTGCAGATGTTTTTTTCTTATTCTAGATAAATAAATATATATTTAAAGACTAATTATTTCTTTCTTCAGATACTCTTTAAGCGAAACGTGCAATTGGGGGCGCAACAAAGTCTACCAATCACATACCATTAAATGCGTAAAGGGAAGCTATAAAATATTCGTCAACATTTGATTCTTGAAATGACTTTAAGATTTCTATATTTTCCTAGTTTTTCGTTAAATTAAAAATTCAATTTAATTAAAATCTTTATGAAAAGATAATTAATGCTATAACGCCCTGGAGGTTCTTTCCGTACGATATTAACGTAAACGAACCAGCGTCATTATTTCTGTTTCATGCACAGAATATGGTGCAATAACCTTGAAGCTTTCATTAAATTTTTCCTCTTTTTTGCTTTTTTTTTTTTTTTTTGCTCATATCCGCCACCAACGGATAGCGGTGTACTAGTTATGTGCCTCCGTTTGTGACTTTCAGAAATGCATCTAAGAGATTCCGCATATTGTATACTATAAGATACTGAGTCAAATTGCGGTCGATCTAATATTCAAGAAAATATCTCCCGGGATCGCCGCAAATATATGCCCGTAATAGTCCAAGTCAATGTAGTCTTATTAGCCAGTCATTCTTTCTCTGTCTTCCTTTTATTATAAACAAAGCTTAAATTTAACTGACACACACATTCTAACCCGCTGTCACTATCAATATGATTCTGATCGGCCACAATTTAAAAATTTTCACGTGACAAATCGATTAATTCGAAAAACAAAAAATGTACAAATACAATGCAATATAACGAGATATGAAATAATGCGCATTGTGTGTAAAATTCCTTTTGCAATAGAAAATTAAAATAAATTTAATTGAATGTATTAACATGGATGGGTGTACGTTTCACATTACGATATACATATGAAGGAAAAAGGATAGAGCAGCCTTAAGAGGTAATGCGATGGTGACAGCCTAAAAAAACAAATAAGAAAATTTTGTTCGGTCGTGACCGAATCTTTTGCACTCAGGACAGTTTTCCGTAAAAAAAGCGAAGGCAGAAAAGGCGTACAATTCTCTTGCTCTTGTCAGATGGGCTTGTCGGCGTTGTAGGCGTGTCCTTTGAAAAGTTTAGATCAAATCCAAGTTTATTTTGCAAATTTGTAGCCAATATCGTCATTTATTCACCCCAAGTGCTACAAAGCCGTGCAAACAGACAGATTGACAGGCATACAGGCGGACATGTTCAGGTGCCTTCCATATTTGAAACTAGCGAAGAATTTGTATATTTTATGGGGTAGTTGAGGATTGTTTCTGCGCGTTATAAGATGGACTATGATGTAGGATAGGCGTGGGAAATTTTTTCCATTTTTGCCCACACATGCACACACAACATCGCCTATAAAATATATTCAAATTTTTGTACATTTATTTGCTATAGTTTACGGGTAAAGAGCAAAAAACCCATTTTTCATTCCTTTTGAAAAGCAGGAGTGTTTTCAGTTTACGTGGTATTGTAGGCGTGTTCTCCAACCAATTTTGCCTATTTTCAATAAACTTTCCATGTTTTTGCCCAATTGGAAGTTGATAGCTTCATTTTTGTAATCAGGACAATGTTTACCGCGAGCATTATACGGATGGACACAAGGAGGCACTCCAATTGATTCAGAATTTAATGCTGATCAAGAATATATATGTCTTATGTCTTATGTGGCCTCTGAAGCTCAATTCTGGACAGTGCAAACGTTTTGACAGAATTAATAGACCCCTTATCCTTCGGTTATGGTATGAAAAGCGTTTTTTAACATTTTTTTTTTTTTTTTTTATTTTTATTTTTTTTTTTTGAATGGACTGAATAACAGTAATATTCAAAGAGATTATTAAGCATATATTTAAATATTAAAACGAAAAAAGTTAGTTTTGAAAAATGTTGAGAAAAATGGCAATAACACAGACGTACTCCCACGAAGCACCTCTAAGTAGTGAAGGACCTCTGCCGCATCCAGTGGAACTGGCGTAAATTTTGCTCTTAAAAAAGTTTAATCAATTCACAGTTTGATTAAGAAAACAAGCAGAAGGGACTCTGTCATTAAACAATGTTTCATTAGACAACGTTATTGTGAAGCGGATTGTAAAAACATTCGTGGGGCCGTTTTCAAAAACAGTATTTTGAAAAAAATGTGTATTAAAATTTGCCATTTTTTTTTTCCGGTGCTCTGCGGTTTAAGGAAAAATACCCCTCCACATCCAAATAGTTTTCTTCATTCCCTTCCGTTTAAGGTATTTTCGGTTTAAGTTAGTACTGGTACCGCGTCTGCTAAAGACAGACTCGCACGGTTTGCACAACAAACAACTGAATATGCAAAACAAATAAGAACATTACACCGACCATTAGATACACCACTACACCACTTCGCCTAGTGCAGTTAATCACTCGTTTCGGTAGTAGTACAACAAAAATGATCCATTATTTTCATAGCAAGAGCATGCACTCCATAAAAGCCGTCATACTGGAAGATGACCAAAACATCAGAAGACATGATTCAAATTTACCAAACTTAAACGACTTTGTAAAAATTTCATTATTTTTCAAATTTCATTACAAAAAACTAGGAAATAGATTTCCTCGCCATATAAGAGCTTGCTTTTCATGACAAGCCCTGCATATGTTAGGTTTTAAAATTATCAACCCATCAGATCCAAAGTCCCTACTGTTCGTTTTTGTGTTAGCTTAGTAAACTACTAGTAAATAGTAATGCTACGGATCACTTTTCATCATAAAACATAAAAAACGAACACTTTTTCTGACGGACTTACTATTCATAAGAAATCTTACATGGAGTGGGGCCCAAGCAATATACCCATGTGATTAAAATTTCGTCCACTTAACTTTTATATTAAATTACTATCACGAACAGAGTTTCATCATAAAACCTTAGCAAGCAGACTTTGTAGAATGTTTATATTTTCTGCGAATCGTTATATGCTGCGGTATGCAAAAACTAGACCTACGGGCTTCAACTGCGGTAAGGTTGATTTCCATTTGACTTTACTATAACGAACTAATTTTCACCATGAAATATTGAAAATTATACCTTTTTAGCATTATAAAGATTCAGTTTTGGTAGGGAGGGTTATATAGGAGGGGATTCAAAACAGTACCCTAGCCGAATAATATATTTTCTACGAATTCAGTATGTCAGAGCATTACTACTCAACGAGTTTTGTCGAAAAGTTGTGAGAAATGAAATTATTTCCAACATAACAACTTTTCAAAATAGGACGTTAAATGATGAGTAGGCAAAAAAGTGGGCCAATCCGAACTATTTTCAATGACATTCATCCTTGGCTCAAATTATGTCAGATTGCATGGACAGACATTAGACGGCGAGATGGGCAGGCGAACACAGGAGCTTAAATCTATTCAGGAAATGATTCTGAGTCTATCTTAAGCCGTCCTGCTTGTTACGTAATTCCGCACTAGCTTACCTTATCCTTATGCAACAAATCGCGCAGGGTATAATGATGGAAAAACACAAAACAGCAAAATAATTATCAAAAAAAATATTTATTTGCTGGGAAACATCTATCCTCTAAAGTCCTAATCCTAAATAATATTACAATCGACTTAAGGGGTTTGGCAAATGACGACTAATCAAATATATCCACAATTTTTTTTTTTTTTTTTTTTTTTATTACACAAAAAATTGTTTTTGATGTATTTTCTATAAAAATGAATTTTATTATGTATGTGTGTAAGGTTTGATTTGTTATCAAAATATACGTTCTTCAATCAAGCCTGATACTAGGCAAGAAAGGCACATATTTCATTTGGAAAATTCGCCTTTATTCATCAACTTTGTCTCAATCGAACAATTCTTCCACGTTTCGATGCCTTATGCCTATCGCTGTATCGTTCCGTTACCGTTTTGTCGAAGGGAATCGGGCAGCG